CTTCCAACGTCGGTTTCTTCGTCCGATAGAATTCCACTGGGTTGAAAAATTCAGAAACATGTACTTGACAGTGTAGCTGTGTAGCTTGACCGTAAAGGAGGACAGGAGAAAGAGTTGGTAGCAACTGGAGTACAACTTAACGGAACCAAGTCCGGGAAAACGCTATTCTCCAGTTCCGGAACGGAGAAATATAATGTTTTTCCACGGGGAGTAGTCTTTTACACAGCAGTATGGACGACTTTTCAAAAGAAAACGAAACGAGAATCAAAGTATTGAGTTCTCATCCGAGCGGACACGTTGAAGTTCGATGTCCCCGTGGAAAAAAAAAGAATATCAGTGATTAAAAATATCGCTTTGATGCTGTTGCGAAAGCGATTTATAAATAAATATTTCTACGCGCCCTCGGCTGTCTAAACTAGACAGGCGTTTGTCACTTTTCTAATCGGCGGGCCGTTTGCGATGACCGTTTTCACGCTTTGCGGAGTCCCGGGGTTTCCGGGGTGGAAATGAAAATTTATGAGTGATCGTTGCAAGCTCTCCTTTCCTCGGCCCCTCGCTGGCGCGTTCTAAATAGGAGAGCTTGCTCGCAGGCTACCCATCTAATATCTCTAAACCCACCACAGCTTCAGAACACTTTCTTACTAATGATCACTCTGCTAACGACATCGCACTTATTCCACTAGAGCTCATTAAATTTAATAAAGACAGTGTACGAAAAGCTAGAGAAGCATACCACATCGAGAGAGGAAAAACTCTTGAACCAGTAGGTATGAATAAGAAAGATGAAATGTGATACATTCTTTATTTCCTTTGTTTGTAATCATTTATTTATACTATTTTTACATTTGAAACTTCTTTCATTTCACTACTTCAACGGTTTTTGTTTTCAAAAAAACTTTTAATGTTCACATTTTTCTCATTAAATTTTCACGTGTTATTATAGTATCATATTGCACGCTACTCTTTATTTCAAATTGTAACGTCCTGGCTTGATCTCATCATTAGGGAACTTAAGAACCACGACGAAGTTCACGACGTCGACGTCTGTTGACTGGGAAAAGACTGGAACGAGAACGTAGGTTTCGGCGGGAAAAAAGGAAACTTGAGATGCAGTCGGACGGTAGGTCGACGATGACGACACTGAATGTAAACACAAATGTAAAACTCTGATGTTCGGTCGCAACAAAGTTTTTCGCAATGGCGTCTTTTAAAACAATGCAAGATCTTATTTTTTAAACCGTACGTTTAATTTCCTTGACGGTGAAGAATTTTTTGTATTGTCTGACCTTTACGAGGGGAAAAACACCTGCTTTCCGTACGAAGATTATTTAACCTGAATGAGATGACCGGGTCCGAGTGTCTGTCAGAGTTTAGATTTGGAAAAAGAGACATTCTGATAAGATAACTGTTTTCCATATAAAGTTTATTTCCTCTATATTAAAGATATATCATGATTTGCCTTGCCTAAAATACGTACAAATAAATATATCACCTACGAGTTCGCTCGCTCGGCCTTCACAGCTGTTGTCATTCTTCGAAGTAAAAACAATTCATTAGTCGAATTTTCAATCAACATCACTTGTTAGGAGAAAAAAAGGAACGATACTTGGATTTACGAGGATAAGAAAATGCAAAGGACTTCAAAAATCGCTTAAAACAGTCGATTTATACCTGCCGAAGGTTGTGGATTGCAGGACGACGTGATTCTACTTTGTTTGGCGTCGTCAACGACACAACGCTTGCGCAGTACACTGTAACTCACTTCCGGTCGTCGTCGTGGTTCTTAAATTCCCTATTGTATGTAAGACCCTAAAGAAGGAAGGCCGTACCTTCACAAATATTGGTAAGAATATATATATATATTCCGGACTGTAAAATCAGTCTTGCTTCTTTTGTTTTATATTTTCACTTATTGCTGATTAGATCCTTTATTAGGATCCGGTCCTTCCTTTTTGTAAGCTGGTCCTTGCTTCAAAAATTGAGTTTTGAGACAGCTTTTGAAACACTTGTGAGAGACAGCAATACGAGGGAAATAAGCTCTCTTTAATAAGACAAGAAGTAACCTAAATATCTTGCTTATTAAATATTCACGTTGACACATTGCGTAACCCTAATCTTAATAACAAATCCAACAATGCACGCTTTGCACTCGTCACACCTTCCCTCTTACAAAAGAGAACAACGCGAATAGAATACATAAACAAACAGCTCGATTTATCCCTAACTTGTATACCAAAACACTAAAAAACTCGGCGTTAGTTTACAGCAAAGTCTTGAAATCTTTTCGGGGGCCTTCTTTCTCTCTGCGATCGTCGAAGATTAGTTGGCGGCACAGAAGAGGGCACAGTAACAGTCAGTAACAGGAGGTTCTCCTGTGCTCAGCAGGTCACGGCGGTTACGACGGTAAACAGCATCACCAGTCTCTACAAGGTAACTGCGCGGACCAGCAAAACCCACGCACTCAGCAGGTGACCAAACTTTCTCACCAGGAAGCCTCACACGCACAGTCTCACCAAGGTTGATGGGCGTTAAAGGCTTCACATGCCGATCGTAATAATTCTTTTGGCGCCATTTCCTTCCGGTCAACGCACGCACATCACCACGTAGTGGATAACTTGGTCTTAACAGAGACTCCGACATTGGCAAAAGTGTACGACATCGACGACCCATCAGGGTTGCGCAGGACTGGTATCCATTCCTTCAGAAGGTGTATTTCGCCAGTCAGGTAGAGCTTAAAATTCTGACACACCGGTTTCTCTGCATTTCTCAAACAGACGTTTCACTGTCCGCACAGCGTTCTCAGCCTTGCCATTTGACTGAGCGTAGCGAGGCGATGTAGTAACATGATTGAAAGACCAACTCTTTGCGAACACTTGAAACTCCTTAGAAGAGAACTGCGGCCCATTAGCTGTCACCAGGATCTCAGGAATCCCAAAACGCGCAAACATAGTCTTCAAATGGCGAACAACAGCTTGCGTTGTGGTAGAGCAAAGACGCGCCACTTCGATGTAGTTGCTAAAGTAATCAGAAACAACCAAAAGGGTACGCCCATGCAGTTCACACAGGTTAGCGGCTAACTTGGCCCATGGTCTCGCAAATACTTCGTGTTGAAGGAACGGTTCCTTAGTTTGGGACGTACGATGAGCCAAACAGACGTCACACTTGGAAACATAATCTTTGACATCGGACGCCATCATAGCCAAAAGAGGCATTTTGGAACCCGCCGCAAACAACGTTCGATACCAATATGGGTCGCATAAGCCACGGACATTAATTCCTTGCGCATACAAGCTAGAACAACCAAACGCGGGCCCTTGAAAATTAAGCTATCTAGAACAACCAGCTCATCACGCAGATCAAAATAGGGTCGAAGACACATGGGAACGTCGGACTTCCTCTCAAGCCAGCCACATTGAATGACAGTGCGCAACTGCTTCAGAACGGGATCATCGGCCGAAACATGGGTTAACTGTTGCCAACGCTCGTCACTTACAGGTAAGTTAGCTCTGTGATCAACCTCTTCAAGCTCCCGAACAAAATACAGGAATTGACGTCAGGCAAATAGGCACGGCTTAAAGTGTCTGCAATCAACATCTTCTCTCCTTTCAGGTAAGTAATATCCAGACTGTACTTTTGCAGCCTGAGCAGCTTCCTCTGTAGACGCTTAGGGACTGTACAAAGTTCTTTCCGGAAAATGGACTCGAGGGGCATGTGATCTGTCTGCACTCGAACACAATGACGGCCATAAATTTACGCATCAAACTTCTCACACGCGAAGACAATCGCCAAAAACTCCTTCTATGCCTGGGCGTAATTTACTCCCGTGTCAGTCAACGCGCGCGACGCATATGCCACAGGCTGCCCACCTTGTAGTAACGCCGCACCAAGACCACGCTGAGTTGCGTCGCATTGAATGGTAACATCTTTCAGATTGTAATAACGAAGCACAGGCGTAGCAGAAACTGCTTGCTTGAGGCGCTCAAAGCACTCTGTTGCAGCTCGTCCCAGATCCACTTAGCATCTTGGAGGGTAAGATCCCTCAGTGGCTTTGTAACATCGGACAAACGCGGCAGAAACTTACTAAGGTACTGAGACGTACCAAGGATTCGCTGTACGCCAGCTACATTTTCCGGCGGGGAATTGCCCGAACTTTAGATGGATCTGCGCGAAGACCTTCACCGGTAGCCACATGACCAATAAAAGGGACTTCTTTCATTGTAAGCTGCAACTTGTCGCTGTTCCAATGAACTCCGCGCTCATCACATCTCTAAAGAAACGATAGAAGATTCCTGTCATGGTCCTTATTTGTAGTCTGTCACGATTCACCATAACCGACAAAAACAAAATCATCCGCGATGACCTCAACACCCCTTAACCCTTCAATCAACTCATGCATTTTACGCTGAAACACTTCAGGTGCAGATCTGATCCCGAACGGCATCCTTTTCCAGCGGTATCTCCCAAACGGTAATACAAAACGAAGACTCCTCATCAAGAACAATGTGCCAGAACCCGTTGGAGATATCAAGCAACGGGAAAACTCTAGCTCCGTGAAGACGGGAAGCTACTTCTTCAATTGTAGGCATAGGATAGTTTTCCCGCTGCAAAGCACGATTAAGATCCTTCGGATCCAACATATGCGTAATTTGCCATTCTTCTTTGGTACGACAACCATCGAGCTGATCCAAGGGGTGGGCGTTGTCACTCGAGCAATAATTTCACGCTTCTCTAAATCTTCCAGGGTCTCTCTAAGACTTTCCCGGATCGCAACTGGAACTCTGCGAAGAGGATGTTGAACTGGTCTAGCCGACTCATCCAGCAACATGTGATATTCGCCCGCAAGTGCACCCACGCCATCAGCGAAGACACGAGGAAAGCTCTTAATCAGCTGGTCAGCGGAGACCGAGGAACTGGCCGGAACATCATGTGTATAAACTTCACAACCAAATTGCAGTCAAGCAGGCATCTGAAATCGTCACACCATACACGCAAACGAACTTTCACGAGGATAGGAATTGAAGTACACCATACGAAATGATCGACGTATGGACAGGGGTCACATTACACAAACCAACATCGTTAGTGGCTTTCTTGAATAGATGCAAAGGGACAACATTGCACTGAGCTCCGGTATGGGGCTGAAAACGAAGATAATTTCCAGATTCCAACCTCAGCGTTACCAGTTGAGAATCATCCAACGTTACAGCCGAAATTTCTTCCACTCTAAAAACTTCGTCCGAAAGCTCATCTTCGAAACAATACACAGGATGCGTGCGAGTCGTGGGTTTGGGCGCGTGTCCAAAACATAGGTTCGCGAAATGATTTTTCTTGCCACACTTATTGCAGCTCCTTCCAAAAGCTGGACAGTTCTCACGCTTCGCTAAGTCATGCTCACGTCCGCAAAATTCACAACTATTTCCCCGCGTGTTAGCATTTCTCGAACCACGACCGCGCCTATGTTTCCCTCTTTTAGGCTTTGTAGACACAGCATTCACGCTTCCGGGATCTGCAACGCTTAAACCTGCATCTCTGACAACCCTCATCTGCTGTACCATGGTCTCGTGAGAACGAAAAATCTCATCAGTTTTCTCCAATGACAAATTCTTCTCACGAAGAAGCCTCTTACGAACCTTGAATCGCGAATTCCAAATACAAGCTTGTCACGTAAAATCTGATTGGGGGTAATCGATTCGAACTCGCACCTTTACGCTAACTTTCGAAGAGCTGTCCGATAGTGATCGTAAGACTTTCCCGATTCTTGCAATCTAGAATAAAACTTATATCTTTCAAAAGGCACATTTTTAAGTGGCTGACAGTACGCTGCAAACTTTTGTAACACAGGCTGAATCTTGTTTTGGTCGGTGTCGCTCGCCCATTCCGTAAACGTAGCGAAAACTTTCCGTGCTTCAGCTCCAACTACGGTAAGTAATGTAGCAACTTGTGCGGCTTCGGGTTCCTGGTGCAACTCCATGGCAATCGAGTAATTCTTCCAAGCTTGCTCAAACTCCTTCCACTTTTTTGCTGCGTTCGAAACTTGAATATCAAGCGGTGGTGGCAGCGGTAAAGCAAATAAAACACCCCTAACATTCGACGTATGTGCAGACGAATTCGGCGATGCACCTGCCCCTTCGTCTCCCGGTATCGCAAGTAAAAAGTAAAACACGTAGGTTCGCTACAATATTCCTGACACCATGAAACACTTGTGAGAGACAGCAATAAGAGGGACATAAGCTCTCTTTAATAAGACAAGAAGTAACTTAAATATCTTGCTTATTAGATATTCACGTTGACACATTACGTAACCCTAATCTTAATAACAAATACAACAATGCTCGCTTGGCACTCGTCGCATGTTTAGTGATGGCAAGTTTCCATGGTTACGAGATATGAAGTCATAAATTTACTTGTGTGTTATTTACATGTCAAGCACAAAAAAATTATAAATTTTTACCGTTGTTACCTGATTTCTAATTCTTGATAAAATGGAAAATTTCGGCCAAGATGGTGACAGCAGTACCACCACCCATGAAACATACCTCGTCTTGTTGAAAATCAAAGGCTTTCCAGTGAAAGCTACTGAAGGCAAAATCGTTTTGAAATACTGCAACATGTCAACAATTCAGGGGAGGGGTTCCCCCCCTTTGTACCACAGTTTGGGTGTGACTTTGCGTGTACGTCCGAGGATTAAGTTTGTGAAAAGATACAATAAGGTACTAACGAAGAAGCATTATATTAGGTTATGGCTTGATGATTGACAAAGATGGACATTAAATAGACCAATTTCGTCATCTGATTAAAATTCATACTTGGCCCCATGGGGGAATAAAACAAAAGAAATGCATTATTCATTGCTGAGCATCAAGATGATTTCTTTTAATTTATTCCCCCAAGCCTCGCAGCCAAATAGGAATTTTAATTTCATTTTAAACTTGTTCTATTACCAAAATTACTGCGACCGATTGACTCGAGATTGAATCAAAAATTCATGACTGAATAAAACCGATAGGAGCAAACTCGCGCGAGATAGCAATTTCAAAAATTTTTAAGCGAGTTTTTATTTATTAATAAATTATGCGATATAAGAAATATCTGTTCCATTTTTTGTGATCTTAAATTTGAAGCTTTTTCCACTTGCAACTTCAACTTTCTTTGGAAAAAATTAATAAATGCTTCCCCGAACACCAATTGCAAATGGAACGTAATCATCAGAAGAACATAATAAGCAAGATCCCTTTGTTTTGTTAAGACCTCATCTGCCCGAGTTTTCATACGTCTGTTTTCTCGGAAATCCGAAATTGGTTGAGACAACAGTGCTGTTAGTGTACAATCACATTTTGTATTCGAGGTTATTGACTCAGAAATGGTTATTTTTTTCACGGTTTGATGTCAAACTTGTCTTGGTTTTGACAACTCGCTAATAAATACTATACAAATAACAAATAATTTATATAATTTGCGATGCTCCTTCCCCTTTCGTTTTTCCTTCAAACTTCCTGGTGAAGGAGAAACAAAGGAGTTCCTCTGCGAATAAAGTGGAACTTTCACTGACAATGTAAAAATGGGAAATCGCCTTCACATTAAAATAGAGATAGTCTGGCAGATTTTAATGGGGCTGCAGAAAACTGCNATTTATATAATTTGCGATGCTCCTTCCCCTTTCGTTTTTCCTTCAAACTTCCTGGTGAAGGAGAAACAAAGGAGTTCCTCTGCGAATAAAGTGGAACTTTCACTGACAATGTAAAAATGGGAAATCGCCTTCACATTAAAATAGAGATAGTCTGGCAGATTTTAATGGGGCTGCAGAAAACTGCTTTACTTAAACATTGTCACATTCAATGCCTTTATTGGACTTATTTACGAGCAGTAGCGTTTCAACAAGAGACACAATCGCCATTAATTTCGTTTGGAAAAAGCTGGAAATCAATTTAAGTCTGCTAAGACTAAGAGCACCTTTTTACGAAAACCCTCCCGTGAAAAAATATATAGAAATGCTTCCATTTGTTCTCACCTTCGTATTCTGTTGATAAAAGTAGATTTTCCGGATCCAGAACTGCCAACGATTGCAGTCTTGACCTTGACTTCTCCCGCATAATTCTTCAGTTTCTCCTCAAAGAAGTTCTTGATTTTCGAAACACCGTTTTTCATGACATATGAGCATGCATCATGGTAATGCTTCTGCGGCACCCATGGTTCCATTTTGGTCAATTCCGCAGCCATGATGAAATTAAAAAATTGCTATGGGAATATTTGATGAGCTAGCTGAAGACAGAAATGCATTATTCATTGCTGAGCATCAAGATGATTTCTTTTGTTTTATTCCCCCAAGCCTCGCAGCCATATAGGAATTTTAATTACTTCGGCGGAGCGCCAGGTAAAGGATTCGCGACGCTCAGGAATGTATCAAAGTTGACTTTTTTTGGGCAAGATTGGGCACGCAAAGTCTGTAGGTTTTCAGTTTTGTTCGGGTATTTGACGAAATGAAAGCCGAATTAGTCCGAGATATCTCGAGATCACTTCGATTTCTTTGATTTATTCTTTAATTTATTCGAGGAAAAAAGATTTATTATTTTGGCTCGCCCGGGGCTTGAACCGACTCACCTGTGCGACCCTTCAGATCAGAGGAGACTCTAAGTTGAGGGAGTAGCCGATTGCGCCACTGCGACCCAAGGTAATTAGTCTCGCTTGAGTAATCAGCGAGACTCATAATCTGCAACGCGTTTTTCGCCCCGGGGGTTAGCCCCTTATATAGACTATGTAGGTATGTGCCGCGCCAAAGAGTATGTTGTTTTTAGCTGTTTTGGTCTGAAATAGGGTATGGTTTGTGCACTCTAGTCTTTAATTGGGTATGTTTTTAAGAAGAATTAGCTACTTCTTCATCATTTGGCGATAAGACCATTTCCCTTTTAACGTTTACGCCGAACTACCGTCTACATGCCGTAACAGCTTGTCACACGCTCCGGTCACGCGCCGGGCTCCAGGGCTTCTGGTCTGAAATAGGGTATCCAATTTTTGATCAGGTCTGAAATAGGGTAGGGAAATCACAGATTTTGGTCTGAAACAGGGTAAGGGTTTCAGGAAGCATGCTGCACACCCCCTCCCAATTTTTCTGGAAGTACCCCCCGGAGTTTTTTGTTGAATTTACGACGCGGAAGGCAGGCCATTGTGCCAGGCGTTCTTTGCGGAGACCGTGGAAACTGGGACTAAGAATCGTTGCGTGATGGAAGCCAGGCATGTTTTGCGATGAAAGCTTAGGAAAGATTAAATTAAGAGCTTTTCCGAAACGTGTCGGTCCACGAATTCTATCGCTTGAAAGCGTTGATTACTTTGGAGCAAGTGAACACTACTGAGTGGTCGAAAAAATAAGAATCTTAATTAGCAAAATTGCGATGGTCGGGTCAGTTGTAAACTTTCACTGTATGCAAATGAGTCTTGTGATGAGCATGTGATTTATTTTCGGCTATGATTGAAATGACGTGCCATGTAAATCACGCTTTCGAAATCTGATAATGATGTAATTTCTCTGGAATCGAGGCCAGAATTTTCGTCTATTTATACACGCGTCTTGCCTGCTTCCGGAGAGGTATTTTTGGTCGTCGCTAACTCGCGTACTAAATCAATTCAGAAACAAATAAAAAGTATCGACGTCCATAAAGTAGGAAGTAAAAAACCTTTAGCGAGTAAATCATGTTTCTTGTAGAATTAATCGCCTCTTCATTTGTCGCTCTAATCTCCAAGCAGGCGAGATGTGTATGTCTCTGTAAGTGCGTTCTTGTTTGCCATGAAAAATAACTATGAAATTATGCACTAGTATCGAGACAAGATTGGGCGCCCTAGTTCGTGACTTTCCGGCTGGTTTCGGCCATTTCACGAAATGACACCGGAATTACTTCGAGATATCTTGAGATCACTGAGTTTAGTCTTTTATTTACTCGAGGAATAAGTGGAGGATATTACATGGCGTCGCAGAGACACGAAAGTGTTAAAAAACATTTCACGAGTGATCGCTCCTTTCGAAATGTCTTATGATGAATTTAAAGTCACAAAATGCTGCACGAAGACGTTTTGTCTTTGTTGAGTGTTACGTAGTAAAATTGCTGTCATGTGTTGCGTGACCTCTACGTTTTTGGATTTTTATGAATAATTAATTAGGGCATGTACAAGGTTTATCTCGATTGGAACGTTTCACATAAGGTTATAGAAAATAGTAAACAGGCGAATAGTAGTAGCCTTTCAACATATTTTATGATTTCAGTAACTGAATGATGCAAATCCGCTGACTTAGGCTCAAATTTCTTCCAACAATTCAAACACTACAACTAGTGTTCGAATTTCCCTCGTCCATTCTACCGTCAGAAATAACCTGTGCCACCCAAGCTTCGACTCGTATGTGAAGTACGAATCAAACAACGTAACTGTTTCATCTTCGAGGTCATATCACGCTGGTATTTTGATTTTCTGATCGACAAGAATGGTGATCAGGAAGTGATCGCCATGTTTACCTCATAAACGTGACCGCTGACCAGTCGCTGGGTGAAAACAGTACGGCGCGGGGTGG